CTGCACATCAGATCCAGTTTCCTGAACACTTTCTGCACACAGCTGTAAAAGGCTCACAACCAAATTCTATTTTTAGATTTCTGACATTATTCTGTCTCCCAGACGCGGAGAGAAATCTGAAACAAACTTCGACACTGACAGCTGCAGGTTGTCATGCATCCCCCCCCCCCCCCTCCCCCCCGCACCGGAGCATGCATACTTGTGGCCCTGGACGCTGCAACATTAAGCAGCGTGCACGGCCCGTGCATGAAGTTGTGAATCGTTTCTCTTATAAAGACTTGCAGCGTCCTTGTCCGTCTCGTGACGGGGCCGCGCTGCACATCTCCTGGCCGCACGCGCACATTTGCGTCAACGCGAGTGAGTTTGCACGCAGCATCGTCTTACCAGGAACTGTGCAAAGGGGAAGATCTCAAACAGGACATGCACCGGCCGCGCTCGCGCTGCAGCCGTGCACGTCGCGACGCGTGCAGCTGTGATTGCATGCGTGTAGTCGTGCACGGATCACGTCCCTTACCTCCCTTCGGCTGAGACATTTCCCCTCTGCTTTGATGGGGGGGAGGGGAAGCACAAAAGACTTTGCCTTCCTTCTCGCTCCCTCCCTCCATCGAGCTGGAGCTGCTGGCGGCTCGCGCTGCAACAAAGATGCACGATCCAAGCCTCGGTCTTCATGCACTTGGACCCTTTCTCCGTGCGGGGCGCGCGCGTCCGTGCACGCGGCGGGCTACGAATGCACGGCTCGCGCGGGCGTCGGGAAACCTGGGGGATTCGTGCAAAAGCGCTGCAAAGAGTCCTCCGCAGCGCTTACATGATGGGCCGAGGCTGGCAGCTGAAAGCTCCTAACTTGGATCAGTGTGAGCCCCTGCGAGGCGACGCTCTTCCTGCTTGGAGCGCGGGGGATTGTGGGAAATGCAGTTGTGGAGGTGTGGCGGCGGGAAGCCTCAACTGAAAGGAAATGTTTCATCATCATTGATCGACTGTAACCGATTAACCGAACGGAGCCCTGAGAGGAGTTTAAACAAGAAAAAAATAAAATAAAATAAATGGAAATAATTTGCTACAACACTAATTCTAATGAAGTTGGGACATTGTGTAATAATAAATAAAAACAGATTATGATGATTTACAAATAATTTTTAGCCCATATTGTTGTCGTGTTTGTTGTTTTTTGCGAATATTTTCGCAATTTGAATTTGATGCTGCAACAGGTTTCAAAAAGATTTAAAGACTGGGAAAGTTGAGGAATGCTCAAAAACATCTGTTTGGAGCCGTCCACACGTGAACAGATATAATATTATTACTGTTATTAATTGGAAACCGGTGAGCATCACGTTTGGGTATGAAGGGATCATCCCCGAAAGGCTCAGTCGATCACAAGCAAGGAGGAGGCGAGGTTCACCGCTTTGTGAACAGCTGCRTGAGCAAATTTAACAGTTTAAGAACTTCTCTCAATATATTTACAAAGAATTTAGTGTTTTCGTCATCTGCAGTCCATAAAATCATCAAAAGATTCAGAGAATCTGAAGAAATCTCTGCAAGGAAGCAGCGAGGCTGAAAACCARCACTGAATGACCTTTGACCCCTCAGGCAGCCCTGCATTAAAAACCCACATCCTTCTGTAACAGATRTTAGCACATGGGCTCAGGAAGACTTCAGAAAACCATCGTCAGYGAACACAGTTCATCTCTACAGCTACAAGTTAAAGCTCTATCATGCAAAGACAAAGGCTACGTTCACACTGCAGGCAAATGCGACCCATATCCGATTTTTTTCAAATCCAACCCAGGCCGTTTCAGTATGTGGTTTTAAATCGGATATACTGTATATCTGATGTTTTCAAAGTGACTGCAGTGTGAACGCTCATTCCGCATTACATCTGACTTTTTCATCAGGGAGGAGGGGGTGAAGGACCGGTAAGACACTGACCTGAAGTCACGCTGTTTAAATCTGTAGATTCATGTGTTTACAGCTTCAAAACACAAGTCCAGTTGCTTCATCTTTTTATTTTTAATTTTCCACCATGTAGATAGTAACGTCCAGCCTGAGTCGCAGAGCGTATCGATCCTAAAGTTACTCGGTCGATACTTTATTTCCATCTCGTTGCTTCGTTCAAAAATAAAAAGTTTCACTGGAGCATCCCGGTCAGAGGCAGGTTCAGATATAAACACTGAACTAAACAAACATGTCAGATTATTATTTAATCTGCTCTGAGATTAAACAACTTCAGATTCGACATGCAAAAAGTATGCTAGGCTAGCATTGCTAGCTCTGTAAACAAACAAACCGGTTTTGACGTTTCATGTTTAACTTCAACTAAACAGTATTTAAACACATCCTCTTATAAACACTGAAAAGTATTAAGTGTACRACTGAATAAAGTGAGTTTTACTCATGATTTGTTTCAGTTTAGTAGCTGCCATCTTGAATTCTGAACGTTGCCACTTTCCTACAGGGAATTCCCGTGGATGATCGACATATTATGAGATTTAGTTTATGGACGATGCTTTATAGCAGCTAATTTTGAGACATTAGTGCTATCCAACTAAATTGCTCAATTGCTTATAGCCATAAATTTGTTTAATAAATAAATTTGTTTAAGTTTACCATTGATATA